CGCAACGGGTGGGACAGAGAGAACTGCATTCTACAACGGGTGGGAAAAAGAAGATAATAGATTGGAGAAAGAAGGAACAAACCCCCTTCCCCCGGTGATGCGCTTGCCCCCCCCATGGTCATCCCTCCCTGTGTATACTTCCCCCTCCCTGACTCCCTCACACACACACACATACCCCGCATATACGTATACGCACTAACACATAGTGGATTAGAACCGGCCTAGCTATTCTACTTCTATAACAATATGTGTTCCATCTATTGCTCCAATAACATTTGGAAAACCTTTGTCCTGTTTAAATGTTGCAATAGATTCAATTGCCTCGTCTTCTGTTGGCCATGTTATGAATTGTTCTCGAAGGCTAATAAGAGCATTTATGACACGTCTTACAATGCGCAAACCAGTAGCTTTGCCAACATTAAAACGATCGCATATAGATCTACAATAATACAATAAAATAAAGATTTACAATACATAATATTTTATTTTGTGCCAACTTTACTTACCGATATGAATCTGGTGTAGCAAGTGTCCAAAGAGTTATTAGAAGTTGTTTTTCCAAATTGACGGGAAGGCGACCAGGTATTATCTGTAGATCAGGATTTGATTTTTTATCTAATTTTGGCCCTACTATGGTCAACAACCAATCGAAAGTTCCTCGAGACATTCTATTAGAAGCAAATAAGTTTGTAATTAACTAAATTAGAAATAAATATAATAATATAAAAATAAACACTTAAAAGCATTAAATATTTATTTTTTATAAAGTAGTATATATTTATAAAATAGTATAGCGATATGGTACACACATTTCTACAAATAATATACATACGTTATTACAAATAATGAATATTACATATATTTTATTAAGTATATTTTCAATATACATAAATAACTTTTTCTTACCGAAAATGTGATTTAAAGTCTACGTTTGATAATACAGAAACTACGTTTTGAATGTAATTCTGTACACGAGGTTTTAGTAGCAATGATCCGCGTTTGCCATCAATCTGATTTAATATATGTAATAATATGTCATCATCAGAACTGTCACTGCTTGAATCGTTTTCCAGTATAATTTCAATAATATTTGATAAAACACGTCGGTCCATATCGGTTATACGTCAGAATTCGGTTGTATTTCGATCTCTTGAAAATATTAAGGTTACGTACAGAGTACAAATAACATTCTTTTACTGCTTTTCCGTTCCAAAATTCAGTACTAGACAGTAAAATCTTACATTTCGAAACAGCAAAAGTCAGTTAATTCAGTAACAGCAGCGCCAGTACTTCCAGCTAATTTCGGAACATACCCA